GTTCGACATTTTTGAAAAAAACCCTATCCCAAAATACCTCGCACTCACACATTAAGATCAACATTACGTTCATTATTAACCAAATTAACAAATCTTGCAACTAATCAAATAAAACCTGGTGACCACACAGAAGGATGTTAGTCGGTTGAGATCTCGTATAAATCTCACGTCTGTTGGTTCTCAAAACACTCACTCTGCAGTTAGATATATCGTGGATCCACAATCTATTGTTAAGAGCTATGCACAGCGGATGTATGTACATGTATTCCTTCGAAGACGACCTGGGTTTGAGAGTTATTCAAGAAATGAATAATCACGCAACTTGATTAATTACTTTAGAAAGCGTTGCTAGGATATCAACATCCATTTTATTTTATTATTAAAGCGGGGAAGTCGTCACCTGCGCATGCGTCAGTTGGCCATAGCATGTAATTGTTTACAAACAAGCGTCTACCCATGAGGCTTTGCGTTTTTAGCGTATGTTGTTATCGTCGCTTGGGACTCCCGCGCGTGCGCAGGTGACGACCCTCCCGCTTTAAGTTTGTAACCATGAAACACCACACTAGGATTTGAAGAAACTTGAACTTCTGCTTAATGGAAGCAGAATTAGTTGTGCATGCTTTTGGCAAATTCACGAATTCTCCATTTGCTGCTCACAGATGAATGACTGGAAAAAAACTGAATTACTTTTTAAGGTGTCTGCGTACAATATTAATGATTTGGTATTGATTATGGCTTAAACATTAAATTGGGGATTCTGCTATAAAATGGCCCACAACAATTGAAGAGAATATGGATCCCAATTATAAATATATAAATTTCTATATATAAATAATTTAATAAATAATTTAATAATAAATAATTATTAGCCGATATTTTGGTTAGATTCGGTCATTTGTATGTGGTTATACACACATCATATTAATAGTTTCAACCACGTGCATGCTTACCTTCTGCATAAGAGATATACAAACTGTTACATTCCTTTGCAGTGGCTTGCATTTTATGTAAATAATGCAATGCTATGATTGGACAATTGAGGCTTGTCAAACACATCATTGTATACAATAGTGATAGCGGTGGTTGCTTTATGATATTTCTGGATTGGTAAATTGTGGTCTTCAACGATTCCCCCATTAAACCACTGGCATATACTTCTCTTTCTTGGGTCTATAATAAAATAAACCTTGACCAATAGAAAGGGCCTGGATTTCACTAGAAAACCTGCACACTTTTAATGGCGCAGTGGCACCCTTCTAACCCAGGTTTAGGCCGGGGGGTTTAGGTCCCTACCCCGTGCAAGGTGTAGTCGTATCTACTTTGTAAATACCATTGGAAGGACTATGAATGTGTACGTTTAACCTTGAAAGGCAAACCTGACCTGGATTCTGCTGTTAGGATGTACAGTATATGCAAATTCGAGACGTCACGTTATGGACGCATTTTTCAGAAGTATAGCGCCCTCAGTGAGCTGTGGTGATTTCAGAAGCTCCAGGACGCAAGGAGCAGCCACTGGCGGCGTTGTATACAATCGAAACTTATTTAGGCTGGCTACCACGGTAAAAAGAACATGTTAAATTTGGTGACCAGCTTAGTATGATAAAGAGTATGTATAGTTTTCAAATGACCACAAAACAGAGTCAGAGGGTCAAGACCGAATATATGCAATTACAGTGTTTCATAATAATTGCACTATAAAATAATATTCGTGAGATATGTCTAGGTCATAACCATATTGTGTACGCAGGGTGCAGACTTTTTTTTCTATATTCCACAATATATGCATCATCATCACTATGGTCTCAAACCTCATTTGATGGCATTCAGCGTTGTGTTCATATTTAAAGCCCACACAAAAGCGGATGCTACTAGATATATACACCAGCTAACATGCCACACCAACCAAGCAACTGCTCAGATTCCCAAGGATTTGTCCAAACTCCAAACATGTCGTACGCTGTAACATGCAATTACAATTCTGGTTGCCCCCCCCCCCATAACTCTGGATATTTAAAGACACATGCAAACAAAATCACAACTTCAGTCTCTTTCACTTGCATGAAACACTTCAGTTTTTTTGCTTCTTTTCAGTCAGTTTATTATTTACCAAAGTTTCCCATTGCAGATTAATGTCATTATCTCAATTTTGAAAGGCCACTTTATTCTTAGTCCTACATCATATAGGAACTGTGCTTCTCTGCGATGCTTGGCAGCAAGCATTTAGCCTTCTCATGAAGTTCTTTTGACTGAAGGTAGATGGTTTAACAAAGGTCACACTTTTTCTCAACAGTTGGTACCTCCTAAGATATTATTCTTCAGGCACCACTGTCTTGTGAACAAAACACTGAATAAAAAATGGACATTCTTTTTAAAATAAACAGACCAAAACTCTTTCTGCCTACAATATAATTGAATTTGTACTACTTTTGTACTGTGAATGGCAACCAATCACCTCTCCCAACCCAACCAGTACTGACACGTGTGGCAAACTGAACAAATTAGTTGAATAAATCAATTTTGAAATAAGTTATTAACAGTTTCATGAACTCATACTCTAGCAAGAAACTATGAAACAACGCTATCGACATAATATCACTGCCTCTTTACCAGACCTAAGTTAGCGTAAAGGGTCCCAAAGCTTAAATAAGAATCCAGTTATTCCCGAACATGACCCATTGCGACAACCACTAGGCATTAATGCTATTCACTAAAAACTCTAATTCTATTTTTTGGGGAGGGCACATTTAAATTACAGTAATCTGTAGTAATTCAGAACTATTTTTATTATTAATAATTCTAGGTACAATGCACACAATGCAATCTGTGCATACATTTCCCACCAGTGAGTTATGCGATGTATATCTGGTGTTTGATGTATAGCCACAAATTCTGATTATTTGATACAAATAAACAAAACATGTCATTACACAATGGTAATAAATATGGGCATCTTCCTAAACGAGAACATAGTTCAACTCTCATAACCTTGCCTATCGTAATATATAGATATGAAAAATATTTCATTTGTAAAAAGAACGAATTTATTGAACAGGTTCAATGAATTAAGGGTAATATGAAAGGAAACTGGACAATCAAACATCAATCTCAGACTGGTTTTAAACAAATTAATGCAATGCAATAAATAAATTAGTTGCATGTTTCAAAGCTTTCATGTCAAGATAAAGTTAGAAATTTAGTACAAGTTTGATCAGAAACATATTTTCAACAGTGTTCAAGGTGAATTGTTTCAAAATAAGACTTTGTGAAATTGTGTCACAAAACACAATCTCAAATCAAATATTTTTTGAAGTGTGAATTATAAACTTTCACAACAAAGTGATATCAGAAACAGCGTCTAAACAAGCATGGGAATGAAAAGCAAACTTGTTTATGTGCAAGTTGTAAAAACACTTATGTTTCAATCCAAGCTTTTCAAAAAATCCATACTCTGCTCCATGGTTTATTCCTGAAAGGCTGACATTAAAGCTAACATTGTTGCCAGTCAGATTGATTTCAAATTAAATTCCCAGCATGATTAGGAACAACGCTACTAACAAATGACCAAATCTATTTTAAAGAAAAATGATACAGAGAAGGTGGACATAAAATGCAGTTGGCTGCAATCCGAGAAAGACATACATGTATGATGTATTCTTATTCTTTGAACCATTAAGGGTAAATTTCAAAATATTTCAAGTTTTAGATGTCAAATCAACACTAAATGTTGCATTTATGGTCAAAGGGCATTGTCTTGAAAAAAAATAATGATTCCGGCCAGCCCATAAAAAATTGCATTATCTTCATTTGTACACTTACCTACCGAGTTTATACTAAACAATAACTTATCAGGGAATGTCACAAAGTCGTAAATGATATACATTTGAAATCAAATTAAATCTGATTATTGGTATTAAAATTATATGAAATGTTAGCGTTGACAACATTATTGTTAGAAGTATTCTATGTTTCAATATACATACAAACTATTATTTGACCAGGGAAATACCTTTTGAATTTGGGTACCCATCTAACCTAGGAATAGTAAAACATTCGGTACGAACACGAGTATTATTGTACATAAACGAGTATTTGACGACTTAAATAATTAAAGGCAAACAAAAATTCACATAACAAGCAACGTGAGATTCGCCAATGTAGACTAATGCGCTAACCACTGAACCATGATAAGTGCATTCTATAACAAGTAATTTGTACATGCTGTCCGTGTAGTTGTATGTCTGGTAATACCGGCAGTTGAGCATTAACTCAATTAAGTAACACATTTGCATCCTGTGTGTTATTTTTGTATCTACACATGTTTTCTCAAATAAATGTCAGCTTGATATGTAGCAATGGTTTTAATTTTAGATGTGCATGCAAAATAAATAACTAATTTTACTTTGGATTGCATAATCGGCATATTTCCTCCTCTCCTCATGTTTACATTTTTGTAATAAATACTATTGTACCTATATAAATTATTGATTGATAGAATAAAAATATACAATTCTCCTTTTACGTTTCCATAGGATGGTGAGGTTAGTTATTAAGTTTTAGAATCTTTGCTGCTTGCATTGCCAACTCCTTACGTTTAATTTTGGAGGTTTTGGTCATCGGAAATTCCTTCATAAAAAGCACATATCTCGGATACTTGAAAGAATGGATCCTTCCCTTTAAGTGTTCAATTAATTCATCTTTCGTTAATGATACATCATCTACAAGTATTACACACAAACAAATCTCAGAGAAAAATCGTTCATCAGGTACAGGAACGACTTGAAGTCGCTTAATTTTCGGATGCCCAACAAACAAACACTCAATTTCAGTAGGGTAAATGTTGACACCTCCTCTTATTATCATATCATCTTTTCGTCCCAAGATCTTCAAGCAACCCTTATCATCCATTATTCCATCATCTCCTGTATGGAACCATCCACATTCGGATTTCGCTTCCCTCGTCTTCTCTGGGTCTCCCCAATATTTAATGAAAAGAAATGGACCACGAAAGCATATTTCACCAGGTTTGTTAATAGCATTAATGCGATTGCTTTCATTAACAATCTTAAGCTCCCCGTACATTGCAGTGTAGCCAGCAGTAGACATTCTCTCTTTCATTGGGACACGATGACTCTGATATGTAATTGACCCGCATTCCACCGAACTATATGCCTGATATAGTTCCCACGAAGTCACCAAGGATACTTTCTTTGTTAGTTGTTCAGAGAATAGACTTCCGATGAGAATTGGATAGCGAAAACAGCTGACATTATATTCATCAATATTCATATGATTTGCAATATCATAGATAACTTCTGGAAATAGTAGACCTATGTTACACTGTTCTTGATGTATGGCCTTCAGTAAGGAACTTGTGTTGTTTGGTGGATAGGAGATCACAATAGTTGCACCAAGTGTCAACATAGCACCTTCAGAAAACGTAAAACTTCCACCGACTAATATGTCTTGATGTGCAAAGATCAGTGGCTGTGTTTTGACGGTATCTATGGTGATATCAAACACATTCTTCAGGAATAATACATAGTCGTTGTGACGTGCATAAGTTAATGAAACAGCCTTTGGAGATCCAGTACTTCCCGAAGTAAAGACAATTGTATGGAAATCATCCATGTCAGTCTCAGATTTCACCTTCTTCAGCAACAATCTCGCAGCCTCATTATCTCCAAGAACCTCTAATTCCTTAATGTTGATGACACCTGGACATTCATCTGCGAGGAGAGATATGATGTGTTTCAATTTTGGTAATTCTGATATACTAAGGTTATGCGATGTAGATGTTTCCAGTGATGACATGATATTTTTAAGAACTTCTATTTGGTTCATATAAGTTATCCCAACTATTAAGGCTTTACATCCAATTCTATTCAGCGTGTCTTTCAATCCATCTAGTGACACCAATCGGAGGATTCGCACTGATGTGAAACCTGCAGTCGCTGCAGCCATCTCAGCTGAAATGAACCTGTAATTTTCATCAGCTAAAATGGCAACGGGGTCCCCTGGTTTGAGATTCAACTGCAGTAGACCAGCAGAAATCCGATTCACGTCATGGTGTAGATTAGCGAATGTTTTTCTTGTGCCATCTTCCATGAATACTAGTGCTTCTCTGTTAGGAAAGTTGTTTGCAGCACTATCAAGAAGTCTTCCCACTGTGATGTTTTTGAATGGACGAATACATGATTGATGAACGTAACTTTGAGTCAATCTTGTTTGCGCCATGTTGTCCTAGCTGTATCCGTCTAAATGAAGAAATAAAAGCAGTATTAATTGTCTTGGTTGTTACTACATTGTGTATGTATCAAGAACAATGTTTAAATTGCCTTTATTGTTGAAAAGAATAAAAATAGTAAAGTGCAGGTCTGTTATAATGAAGATTTTTATAAAAGTGCATCACCTCACTATTGCCAATCAGGTCTAAACATTTTCATCGTGTTCAATTGCACGATCTCTCCACACAGGTTCGTTGACAAGGATTGTTAATGAAATATCCCTGTTAGCATTAGGGGAAATGTTATTAATGTCAAAAATAAAGTAATATGGACAAAATTAGTTAGTAATTGGAACTGCATAATTGGCTGGTCTAGTATCAACAAAAATTAGATGTAATAAATGACTCTTCCAAAATCTGAATATTAAACAGGATATGGTATTCGTGCATTTCTTTATCCAAACTGAATTTCATTTGTCCAGGCTCATGTATAGAGATATAGTAGTCACAAAGTAAGATTATAGGAGGTCAACTGTCTTTGATCCGATTGCACAACCAATTGCCAAGAACATGTTTGTAATATGTACAATTTGAAGAGAAAAACATAACATGTCAACGATAATTTCGAAAAAAAAGATCGGTCATTTTGAATTCGAAAACGATAAGAATCATCAAGACATGTTTCTCAACATGTATAATGTTTGTAACAAATTTGAATGAAAATCGACAAATCCTGTCCAAAATATTTTCCAAAAAACAAGATGACATGTATTCCATTATTTATGATGCATGTGCCAAATATGAATAAAACTGGTCCAAAAGTCACATATATGTGTAGTAATGTGGGTAAAAAGAAGATGGCCGCTGGTAATCTATAATGTATGATATATACTACAAATTTGAATGAAAATGAATATGTCCTTGATACCATATTTTCAAAAATTAAGAAGGCTGCCAGTCGGTCATTTTTTGATCTGATCTCGAAACGAATTGCCACAGACATGTATCCTTAGATGTATAATCTATGTACCGAAACAAAGCATGCATAAGACACCACATTTTCAAAAAACAAAATGGCTTCCAGTCTGACATCTTGGATTCATTGGTGAATCTCTGCATGTACATATGTCCCTGATAAAGTACTGGGTATATGTGAAGAATGAACAAATATGGTCCACACGGTTCTGAAATATGAGTTCGGATGGATGGATGAAGACCATCGTTCAACAAAAAGTTAATTTAAAATTGCATCACATCTAAATATAGATAAATACATCATTAAATCATTTGCAAAATACGATGAATGGTCAGAGCGCTCTCTAGCGTTTGTGGGGATTCGTCTTTATTTGGAACGCTCTGATTGGATGAAAGTTTGACCCAGTAAGATTTGATAGAATTGGCCTGTTATGTTTGGATTAAAATAAGCATGAACCACTAAATTGACAGGGAAGTGATACTTATAATGAAGCAAGCTGTTTTAATTGCTGTTGTGATAGAGTTTTTACATATCCCCGTCAAATGCAATTATTGGTCCACTGAAAAATAAAAAAACTCTTATTGTTCAAGGCATTTTGAAAATCATGGGTGTTAACTCCCCGCAAGTTATGTCCCCCATAAAACAATGGTTGCCTCCAATATTAAAAGATCCTAAAAAGTTAGTATTTATAAGCCTGTGTGTTTTTTTCACTGTCTTTGACTTTCCCAATACTTTTGTTGCTATTCACAACAATTTAGTCCTTTGCAAAGCTTCAGTCAATGTTTTTTCTTGACTACCTTCACAGCTCCTCGTCGGGCGCAATTTGGTTGGTGTGCCACTGGTGTGGCATATTTAAGGTGGGTTTAACCCACCAAATCAGCACAGATGATACAGCAATTGTCACATTCAGTGCTGCAAGAAAATATTCTCTGTCCATGTGTTTTTATATATGTAGACGCAGTTTCTTTTGCTTGAATCAAATTCACTGGCTTCGTACATATAGGTATACCTGTTTCTAGTTGAAATTTAGCAAATCTTATTACCCAAGACAGTTGGACATTTGCCACATGTCACAACACTCATTTCCTAGAACAAGTAGTCAAATCTGATACTGGTTGTAGCTTTTGTTTATATGGCTTAAATCATTAAATGCATATGGCGAATGGCAAACTCGGTGGTCAGACAGTAATACAAATACGCACCGGCTTACTCCTCCCACCCCATTTTTTAATTAAATGGCTGTTTATAAGGCCACTTTTTACCAAACACTTCAGCGTGGTACTAAGAGTTTGTTTTCAGGGGTGGGTGATACCAAGGTTGAGATTGGATGCACATATGGGTGTAATTTCTGGAATTGCAATAGAGAGGGCTCAGGCCGAAATACATGTTTCGTCTGATATTTCTGTGGTATTCTGCTGCTGTAAATAATGCAAGATTTGTTCCGAAATTCAGTGTGTTGTGTGCACTCCAGGGTTATTCGTTTTTTGTTCAAAACACCCATAGTCGAATAGTTTCACTCCCATTGGGAAATCTGCATTGTTGCTTGAATGAGAACTAATTAAACATATTTTCCAGACCGGCGAAAGTGTATGCAACAGCCAATTTTAACAGCCTTTCACGTCAGGGGGCCGATAAGTTGGCCGAAGGCCAAGTTCGCGAGCGCCGATGGCGCGAAGCCCTGTTGGTTGTTGAAAATAGGGGGCCGTGATTTTACTCCGTATGTCAACATGAAAAGAGGCTAGTCCATTTTATGCAGGAATAATTGGGAGTAGAATATGTGAGGGATAGTATCAACAGAGATGTGTATACTGAAAAATAATATCTATCCTTTTTTGTATCGCTGAGCATTTCTGTTTTAGTATACTGGTTTGAAAATGTTGAATTTGCATGATTTGCGATGTGTTTTTTTAACTGAAACTCCCCTATTGATTGAATTCCGGGTTTGAAGAAGAACGGCACACCACGTGATTCGTTTGAATACAATGGTGAAGGGTTGACACAAATTTATGTTGAAGTTAAAAGTTCCTCCACAGAACTTTGCATTTGCAAACATGCCATGCTACTGCGGTACTCCACTGACGGGATGAGTTTCGTCGACAGTGGTCGTCGCTGAGCTGCACGCTACAACTTCGCTTGTGATGTAATTTGTTAGCCGTGGATTGAATGAATCTTGATTACCGGTTAAAATGTTGCTCATTTGGCGTTGGTAATTTTTATTTGGAACTGGGTAACGTCGCAACGTCGCCAGCAGAAACCTCCTGGTACTTTGATCTTGATGGTTACGCCTCCATGGCAATCGCTAATTTTACTGTGGGGGGATCTTCCGAGAGCCCTTCAGGGTTTATAAAACTCAACATACACCAAGTTCTCTCAATCGTAGTATTCCATGTGATGTACACTTAATATGCCAAAAATGTTGCTGAATGATTTGAACTGGATAAAAATAGCAGACGAAAATGTGTATACAAAATAAAAGTAGTCCGGTTGCCAATGAAAACAAGCCGGTAGGCTGGTTGGCGATGGTAGGACATGAACGTGATGCTAACGTTGGTTTTTACCTAAAACCGGGCACCGTATACGAAGTTCGCAAAAAACATTCAGTCTTTAGAAGTCACTTAATTTTATTGCTAGGACGTATTCTGCCGTTAAATGTATTATTTCCAACCGTTTTGCGATAGTATTTTCTAGATTGGAGGCAGCATTTACATTTCATTCAAAGTTGCGTTGAGATTACGTTGATACAGTGTAACAATGTCGGCGCTGGTGTGCAACGTAGCCAAAATAAAAGGCATAATCATTTAAACATTGCTATTACAAGACTGGTAGGAGGTAATAAAGTTGGCACGAAAGTATTAAAAAAAACAGTTTCTGGCTGTTGCCATGGTACTGTGGGCCAGGATTGTTTTTCCAATTAGTGACCGTACGACCTGCCTGTCATGTATGAACAAAATTAGCTAAGAGAGGAGTTAAAAGCTGTTGCTGGTAAAAAGTTATCCCATTGTCTCGGTAATGAAAATAGACATAAAAAAACAGTAAATTTTTGCCCACACGCAAGCTGAGTAGAATGAGTTACGTCCGTGCTTTTTAATCATGGAAATGTACGGTGTGATACATTTGGCATGAAGGTATTACAAGAATCGGTTTTTGGCTGTTGCCATGGAAACGGTGATCAGAATTTGTTTTAGGATTTGACAAAAAATAATTTTGTGCCCACACTCAAGCTAAGTAAAAAGCTATGTCTGAGGTGTTGTATCCTAAATTTGTTGAAGGAGATACATTTAGCGCGAAGCTATCAACAAATCAGTTTTTTTGTTGTGGAAACGGTGGGCACATTTTCCCCCAGATTTTTCCTGATGAAGGTGTGACCTACCTGCTAAGTTTGAGCGAAATCGGCCAAACCAAGACACCCAAAAGTGATTGTAATAGCAATTCCAGTAGAGCGGATCGCCAATACCATGTCATTTGCATATTGACTGTGAAAATACCAAAAACCTTATTGCATGGGTGATATGCAAATTAGTTTTAGTCAAAATAAGTGACTGCCTAGAAGTACCATTACTGTTGTTCAAATGTTATTTCAGTCGGCAACTTGAAGTATATTCATGTACTCAAGGGTAAAATATCGTACTTCTAAATATAGTTTATTTCTGCCATGTTTCGAAAAACGCTACTCTTGAAAGGACTAATTTGTTTGCTCTCAGACCTCATTTGCATATGTGATGTGGAAATACCGATTTTGATTTCAGGGACGAATCAAAATAAACTGCAGTACATATGTAATAATGTGAAATACTTCATTTTCACTGTAAACATTTTTCCGCTAAAATAAATTCCAGTGAAAATGCCATAAGTGAAATTCTATGTGACTTCATGAGAGTTGGAAATGAACAAATTATATGACACCCAACCCTACCATTCCATACATAGTGTAAACAACACCCCAAAACATCCATTTACCTATGTATTCTATTTGACTTTAGGAGAAATTGAAATAAACAAATTATATGACAACTAACTTAATTATAATTTCAGCTT